GAATGTTTCGCACGGGTCGAATCCCGATTCTTTCTATATTACCGTGTTGCCTCCACAAAAATTGATTCTGTAACAATAAACCAGAAATGTTAGGAGACTTCATGTTAACCGTGCCAATCTTTTGGGCATATTATATTCTGTTATGAAGTTGTGTTCACCTGCTACAATCTCTTTCACATGCTGATCTCCTAATAGCAAAACACTAATTTTCGCGATATACAAACGTTGTGGCATCCGCTTACTTGCCACAGACGACATAGAGGAAGTAATTGTATTTCCTCTATGCCACAGATACACTTAATTATTTGAATATTTGTATAGTATTATAGTATTATCTTTGTTTATAGTATTATCTACTACTACTATCAAACAAAGCTATTATCTACCTATATTTTTGATTACTATACTTGCTTGGCATTTGCATAGAAGTCGAATCTCCTTTCAGGAGTTTCAGGCAAAGACAATGGTAAGAAAGGTGGAGCTAACATTGAATATTTATATGCCTCGAAACATTATACAGTGGCGTCGGTAAGGCCCCCGTAGACCCCGCGGCGTGAAGGGACCCCGGCTCAGGGGGGCCGCGAGTAGATAGCTTCAGTATATATAAACTTAACATACTTACATGAAATGCTATACAGTATTTCTGTTTTAAAGTAGGTAGCCTAATTAAATAATCAATTTTTCTAATTTCAATAAAATTGTTTAACTGTAGGAGGGACCCATCTGATTTTTTGCAGGGGGGCCCTGAATTCTTACCGACGCTACTGACATTGTAGGTATAATCCGCTCACTGTAGAGGTTGAAATTTCAAAATGGAAATGGACGTTCTGAATGAAATTTTCCATTGATGATTTACTGTTATAATGCTTCTATTTTCAATTTTTTACTGTGACGACAGATCCCGAAATTGTTTTCTATCAAGATAGTCATTGGAAGTATAGGGGCAATGCACTTAGGACGCTAATGTCTTTCGGATACCCTGCCTCTTTACTCCCAACGTGTTTCGATCTTGATGGAAAACAATCTCGGCGTTCCGATTACTTTGCAGCTCATGTCCACCAGTCTTTACAGTCTAAAATTACAATTATTACTTCATTGGCATTACACAACAGAGACAAACGAGGGCGCATACTTCAAAAATTCGATCCACCTACGCACCACCACAGATAACTGTGGCACCACCTACCGTTTGAAGCAAAACAATAAATGCTACAAGGGCTGCTCTAAAGTCTAACCTTTCAGACATTAAATTTTAGAACTAATACCTAAATTTGAATTTGAGAAAAGTTCGATTAGAACAAAAAATTTTAAAAGGTTTCACAAGGTGGTTGTTTATACGACAATGGTAACGGTAGCGCCCAAAACCACAGAAAGGTGAGAAAAGATTACTTTCTGAAGTTTGCGTCCCGAAATGGCTATTAGATTTTAATCAAAAATATCTTGAGACCTAATCAACGCAGAAAACACAGGGTTTAATTATAGCCTTGTATATACCTATATTACGCAATGATTAGAGATACTATTCCCTACATTCAATCGGAAAACTTGAGTGCAGATACCTAATTTTCTGTGCTTGGATAAAAGAGATCATACGCAACTCATTGTATTTATAAACGAAAAATACAATGGTAGTATTATGCATATTTGAATACATTATGGTTACCTATACGGCTTGAAATGAAATGCAAGCCATTTTTGGTTTTAGATATGTATATTATATTATATTCGAGTAGAGTTGCGTCCGTATATTTCAGGAATGGACGATTTGCTAACAAGAAGTCAGTAACTAAAGGAGATTCCAGATACCCTATAGTTGTAATGGCGCCGTAAGACTACTAGCTACTATAAATAATTGTCATGGTTAAGTTTGCAAGAGTCCTCTATTTCCTGCTGCGCGAATAGTCAAACACTGATTTTCGGGATATACACAACGTTATGAGGACTCTTTTTGCTTGCCTCATGTGTTGAAATGATTTTTAGTAATCATCGCTGATGTGTTGGTCCATAGCCAACGGATAGATCCGGTCGAATACGAGTGGTCTGCTATTCGCTAATGTATGTAGTATGTTCATCCAGATCTCAAAAACGGGTGGAAATTTTTTTGTGCACTTTCACTTTCAAAAAATAAAAATTGCACTTTTACGGTCTTGATGCCTGTCTGTTTGTCTGTCTGAGTCGCAAAGCCTCCGGAACTACATCACTACAGACTTGGTACCTATTGGTGTCATTCGATCACAAATTAAAAATTATTTCATGTTTGTATTCTAGTTAAAGCATGAATGATGAAATGGCCATAAGTGCTATTAAAATCGAAAAACAATTTCAAAGTGCACTCTTCGTCTCTTGCTCACAAGCGGCTTAGTGAATTTTTTTATAATTTTTAGACCATGTACCGTTAAAATGAGGTTACTTGATGACAGTTATTCGTGTTTTCGTGACTTAACTCAAAGTCAATTACTCGAATCGGCACCAAATCATTATGCAGTGAAGTATCAACATTCTTTAATTGATTAAACCATACAACGACTAATAATTTAGAAAAGATACCTACTGACACATTTCAAAAACTCTTGCCACAATTTCACCCCAAGGTCTGGGGTTACTTTATGACACAACGTTACAAATGAGTCCTTGCATTTTTGGCGCATTTTCCAACGAAGTTGGGTGCGCTATTGCAGCCACTTTCTCTGTCCGTCCGCCTGTCCGTTTAGTACTCCTACAGTTTTCAAGATATTAAGGACGACATACTATTCATGAGAACCAATAGAGGTCGCCACTAACAAATTGCATTGTAACATTATATCAAACTTTGAGAATGACTCCTGGGCTTATACAATCATTTTTTAGCGTGGTTTTTGAAAATATAAATTCTACATACATTACTCTAGAGCGACTATATAAGGGTTTTATCAGAAAGACAGTAATTACTACAATATTGCTAAAATAAGACGACACATTTAATTTTTTATTTTAAGCAATTGTTAAATTTTAAAGTACATTCGCTGTACAACTGTACCTCTTCTTTCAATATTGAAAGTTTTGTCATTTAAAATCCAATATTGTGGCCAAGAGTCATTCTCAAAGATTTCATTTTTAAAAAGTTACATCAAACACAATGGCGGCAAGCAGCAGTACGTGTAGTGCAGCTATTTATTTCTAGATGTCGCTAAGGTACAAATTAAACTTGGCGCGCGTCTGTAAAAGTAATTTAATTTAGAGTATACACAAACCAATTGTATACGTAGATAGTACCGCCTACTCAACACGATGTGGCAGCCCAATTTATTTACTACAAAGATAGTTCTTGACTATCTTTCGATTTTAAAATATGCTGCCACCTCTGATAATTAATAGCTGAATTATGATTGCTTCATTTCATAAATGGTTCAATTTTTTAATTCGTATGCCGTCCTTAAGTAATTTGTTCTTTTTGCTGCATTCGGTAGCTAGCACCTGAGCCAAGAAAAATCTTGACAATTAAACTGCGCATGCGCAGACTGCGCAATGTCAACTTCCTTATATTTTGTTGAAATTTAACAACCATTTAAAATTGGTACCGCAAGAAGTACCGCATCAGCGCCTTAGTAATATGACCTGAGGCGGCAAACGATCGATTTTAGCCTGGACTGGATAGCGCATTCCTGTATGTTCCAAAAAAAAGAGAATTATGTCTGGTACCAATTAATCGTTATGCGCATGCTACGGTATAAACTTCGCGCGGAAATAGTCGGACTGTCAAAATCGTTACATCTATTTTCAGTGCCGTTTTTAGGCATGGACCACCTGGGCCCGGGCCCAGGGCCCCGAAATCCTGAGGGGCCCCCAAAAGTTTGTGTGAATGAAAAAATTTTAGTGCAAAATCTGCTGTCTTAAAGTAAATGCAGACTTAAAACAAAATTAATGCATAGAGTAAGGGATACAGGTATGAGTATTGAAAATGATATTCTCCAAGAAATTGATTTTAACGTCATCGAAAACTTTGCGTTACCTACTAAAAGTCCGAAAATAACCTGTCTAACCTGCACAACTTGTATAAAATAAATAAAGCTGTAAAATATGTGTTTTTGTTTAAAAATATTTTTATTGAGGGTAAGGGGGGCCTCCACGAACGAATGGCCCAGGGCCCCAAAAAACTTAAAAACGGCACTGTCTATTTTGGAAGTAAACATTTACTTTCACGTTAATTGCATATTATGAACTATTCTCTCTACAAACATAAAAACTACGCATAATTATCACGATTAATTAAAGGTACAGCCCAAATAACGTACGAGTATAAAGCAAATAAACAGGAATCAGCTGTGGTTATACGGACAACGCCATTAGTTTCCGATTTATTAACGCCTGACATGCGCAATTCAAATTGGTACAAACTTTTTCTTTTATCTCATTTCTTTTCACTGAAAAATTATAGCGATCTGGGTTGCAAGAATTGGAACCATATATTGGAACACGAGTTGTACTCTTCTTTCATTAAGAATGCGCCATCCAGTAGTATATAATCAAAGATTTTAGCCTACTCGGATAAGCCAAAGTGGAACTCCTTACTCCGTCGGTTAAAATTTTGATCACTCTCATTCAAGGGATTTCGAGCTAGTTTCGTCTACTATAACTTTTCAAATTGGTTATTTAAATTATAATAAATTCCCATTTAAACAACATTTTCCCCGATTGTATCTAGTAATATCGTTGAGCTACTAAATGATAATATCGAATACTGAATAACTGAGTAAGTCTGTAAGTATGTATGTGTAAAATTCCTGTTAATACACTGGGATGCATTCATGTAAGTATATCTGCATTTCTTTGCCATACTTATAAACTCCTATTGCTATATTATTGTGTTGAGAAATTCGAGATAGCTCGCATCTAACCTCCTCTACATGCTGCTATACTAATGGCCATACACTCATTTTCGGGATATACACAACCTAAATGAAGACTTTCCAGCACAGCAGGGCTGTGACGCTTCACGCTGGTGATAGACTTTTATTCAAATGTTTATACTTATTTCCGTTTATTTTTTGTATTCTACATGCTGTGATGCTACAGGTAAATGTGTTGGGAACTCGCTAAATTAAATTTTACGCCACTATTTTCCATTGGAATATTAATTGCAGACACTTTCCCCAAGCAAGCCTTGAATAAACATTTAAATTTTAAACAATTACAAAATTGTAACAACCTGCTCGTCAAGATGGAAATACGCTGAAAAGCTCTCCTTACTTTTCTGTTACACTAATAGCGAAACGACGATGTTTCGACATTTACACGACATTATGACGACCACTCGTCCAACCTTGGGGTTCTACCTACCACCTTTGTGGTTTATACTCTAACCATTGAATGAAATGCAATTTTTTATCCAATGCTCTATCGCACGATCTCAATCAATTTGTCGTTCTTAAAAAACAGCGACTATTACAATATAACAAAAAACACTTCACAAATAAGAGAATTGTGTCTATATGTCCACAATCCAAATAAAATGTTAATACGAGGTATCCAGATCTGACGCTATAAAACGATTCAGCACCACATAAAATAAAAGAAACAAAATAAATTCACTGAAAAAAACTGAAGTACATGCAAGCATTGGCAACATTGGTAATCTTGCCCGCCGCGTCGGCTACACTGTGCAATCTCGCAGATGTCACCGCTGTGGCCTCAAAGTAAGAAATTTCTTACTCTGAGGCTGTGACGGTCGTCACCATCGCGCAGTATTTTTGTTTGACTCTTAGTGAATTACAATTAATTAAATTAGGTACCTAGATAGGTATTTTAGTTGTGGTGTGGTACTTAAAATTATAAAAATGATCTTGTGGTACATATGTCGTAGGCATATTGTAAAATCAGTCATTTTATAATACGCCTAGGCAGTTTTATGTCGTAGGCATTTTGTAAAATCCGTCATTTCTAAATTGCGGAGTCATTTCGTGAAATGCTGACCTGTGGGGTTGGGGTAGTTTTCCTTCCCCTTCTAGATGCGTAAGGGATCGCTCTTGAAGAGGAAGGGATCCAATCGCTTACCTCTAGAAAGTACACTGCCCGCGTTTTATAAACTGCCTAGGCGTATTATAAAATGACTGATTTTACAATATGCCTACGACACATATAATTCAAAAAGGTTGAGAACCGCTGTTCTAGAATGTTCTCGAAAAAAACACGTCATATTTCCCAGAAAAATTGCGTCCCACCCGATTTCATTTTTTTTCGCTCGTCATGACTATTCTTTAATGAGACCTCGATGTCTATTGGGATTTCCGGAATAGTTGCCACATTTCTTAATTTGGTTGATTTTTACTAATCTAATCACGTCGCAAAATTGGTTGTCCCATACTTAAATACAAGAATGTTAATTAGACCTACTAGATTTCAGATTGTCATTGACGTGACCCCCAGTAGGGTAATAATTTCATCACTGCAACCATTTAATTTGTCGTCTGGAAAAAGTGTATTAAATAAAAAATTATTCATTCCAGATACCTGGGAATCCGTATCAAGTTAACACTACAAACACACGTCATAAACACGCATCATGGATTTTTACTGCCCTGCAAAAATGGAAGCTGGAATTACACCTAATTTTATGGTCTTGAGTTTTTTGTTTTTGTTTTTAGTCAGTTTTGTACCACAGATATACGCATTGCGTATCAGATATACATACGCAATGTGGTTATACTTACTCATCAGTGTACACCAAGATATATAGAATATATCTTGGTGTACACCAATGAATAAGGTATTCTTTATTCATTGGCGTACACTGTACCTACACACTGACGTAAATTTTTAGAAGTAGGTAAGTACCTATATCAAAAATAATCATTATCTCCAAAACTATGTCAGATAAATCACACATTGACAACGAAGAGTGCAGTGGTATCTAATAGCTATTTCGGATTTCCTACCTTTCGCAGGTCATTCAGAATCTACGTTATTTTTAGGTATAGGCACATATAGTATATTATGTTGTCTGTGGTATAGGTATACAGGGTGGCCCGTGAAAGCTATAATTTTGATCACTTAAGGACAATTTTGCCAGAATCGTTGGAACACGTCAATTTTACTAAATTAAATGTTATTTACATAACTACAACCCTGAGAAGAGGGTGAATTGCACCCCAAAAGTTTAAAATGGATAGGGGTAACAAACGTTAGAGATAATCACATCACAGCACAAGGGCATACCTATAATTTAAACGTAAATGAAAACCTATATGCTCTTAATTACCTATAATTAAATTATGTGACAATGTTTTCAGGCGAGTCAGGGTCTTCACACATCCACGAAAGCAATTTGTCCAGTTTACATAAACAATTTTAATTCAAACACAAATATGCATGAACGAATGAATTCTAGGAGCAATTTAATAGTTATGTTTGGGATCCATTAATCAAAAAGGAATACATTTCTTTATCCTGTCAGTATATTTCCCTCGTTAAATGTACAATACTTTAGCATTGCTGATTCTTAACCAAAATAGTAAGTGTATAAAATGGTACAATCTTGGAAATGCGTTACATAATATGAATTATACAGACGTTAATAAAGTTAATTTTTCATTTAACTGCAACTGTGTTTTAAGCAACTGTGACAAGGTAACAACCATAAGTAAATCTTTAACATTACTGTTAAACATCTCTGAAAATTGTTCATTTGTCATATGAGGAACGGAATTAACCAGGTCTAACAGTGAACGACCAACTGCGTTATCTGCAGGTATGCGATCAGCCAATACATCTTCAACATAAGCCAGCACTTGCTCCAACAGAACACTCATTTTAGAGCCCGCTTCCGATACTTGCGCCAAATCTAACATTGGATGTACACTTCGTGGTCGGTTTGGTCCAGTTGAGATCGTCTTGGAGCATAATTGAAGACCATACACTTCGGGATCGTAACATGCCACCTCGACAGGAATAGGTGTGAACATGCAGCCTTGCTTTCCGTTTGGCACGCCCAGCGAAACACAAACATATGCCTTTAAACCCATCCGACCACCATGCAAACTTGTATCTAACGTAACGTGAATGGGGTTATTGCATTCACGGGAGTAATACTCGTGTATAACTGAGCTGTGATTGGTCACTTCATTACCGGTCGCCCACCATCCCACGATATTTTCGGAGGAGTTTACTCTTCGATTCAAATCATAAACGTCCATGGCATAACTTAATTCGGCCTCAACCTGGTCAGCATATTCCTTGTGGGGTACACAGAAGCAGTTTGTAACTTCCACGATACCCTTTTCACAGGTGCCTGTAAATCAAGGGGGTTAAGTAAACACATGGATGATGAAATAAGAGCTCGAGTGGAAAAGGAGTTACTGACCCAATAACGTTCCAATAACTCGATGCGAATCCGCATTTCTACGTTCGTATGCATCTACAATTTGAAATAAAACCACTGGGTGGATTTTTACGGTTAGGTTAAGATGATTCAACGCCATTTTGATTGTGGGACATTCGTGCGCAAACTCGTTGAGAAACGCTGCCAACGTGATAATAATAAAAAAGATTCAAATTGTGAAATTTTAATTACTAATTTATTTGGAAATTTCCGTTTGATTTATCTAACTGAGCATTCAGTAGGTCATTTCCGAATGTAATTTTAGCGTCTACTTTGAATAGAGCTCTGTAGTAGGTTTATAAAGACGTAAAATGTAATATGAGAATCCCACTAGAGTATTGATGGCTATTCTCAAAATGGTTTCGCGGCCCACCACTACCAAAGCTGCCTGTCTGTATTCGTTGCTCTGGTATATCCGCAATGCAGGCGTGCCTAACTGTAACCAGTTTGTAGTAGTGTGTGTGGCCGGGAAATTTCTGGATAAAACTTAGTACCCTTAAAAGCAGGTCTGTTGAAATTAGACCAAAATAATGTGACGTCCCCTCCCCGCCTGTTCGCTCCTTCATGATTGTTTATTGATATGATGTTAAATTCCCGGCTAAATACCTAAAATAATTATATATGCTACAGTCTTATGACAGGCAAATTCCCAAGCGTAGAAATAAAATGAATTTCAACTCTTAAGGTGACCTTCAATTGTTATATGCTTACTTAACTTATATAAAATCGGGAAATAATTGAATTATTAGCCCAACAGAGGGAACATTTAAAAAAGTAATTGACAATAGAGGTCATGCCCTTCCATCCTCTCGAATTTAAAAAAATTAAATGGATCTCATTGTAGGTTATAAACAATGGACTCTGAAAGCTCATCAGAAGAGCAATCGTCAACCGAATGCTCCACAGACTCCTCTGATGACGACGAGAAATTGGAAACTGCCCAAGTTTGCGGAGTTCGTATTCAATTACCTCAAGGATTATGCGAGCGCAAAGACATCTTCAACGAATTCTTCTCCGCTAGCACATGGAACTTGCTATCTGAAGAACACAAGCAGCATTTAAATAGTTTTCTTCCCACATTTCCCGAAAATGACGAGCACGAGAAATCGGTCACGTTATCAAAGTTATTCAATAACGAGATATTTAGGTTCACTAGCCCACTGGCCCAATTTCATGAACACCTGAAAGCGGGCCACTACAGACCGGATATAGCGAAAATGAGGCTGTTAATCAGAAAGGCGGAAAGGAAGGAGGCGAAGTATAGACATAAATTGTACCGGGAACGTTTAAAAGAAGACATAACGGAGTCAAAAAATAAACTGCTTAATTTAGTGAAAAATTTACCTCCCGGTGTAGAGCCGAGAATGGAAAAGCTGAGCTCCACCACGCCGTCATACGTTAATCCGATTTCTTTTCGTACTAAGAGAAGATACTTTCAGGAACTTTCGTCGTTACGAGAGAAGGTGGACGAGACTGGGTTTTCGTCAGACGAAAATTATCCGGAGGGACCTCCCACTCCGTTATCGAGGAAGCAGAAAAGACACCTGAATGCCATTAAAAATTCCGCCTTAAATAATGAACGAGTGGTTAGCACGTTAGCGACGAAACCAAACGTGTTGGAATTAGAAAGGCTTATAACACCAAACTGTAATCCCTTCTTTATTTCGGAGGATTCGTATAGAAACTTATTGTCAACACATAAAAGACGACGACTCGAAGACGCTAATAATCCCGAGTATGTTACAAACGGTATAGGAATTATGGATATTATTAACAGAACAGATTTAACTAGCTTTAGAAGGATAAATAACGTCAATTCAATAAAACATCACATGGATCACAAACCCAGTCCGCATAAAAAGAAAATCAAAAAAGAACCGTTACTTATGCCGAACTCCCCCGAGATTATCAATAAGTCAAATCCATTTTTCGGGCACAGTTCAAATTCAGAATTGGACTCGGACTCGGAACCGTTCTACGACAGTGTCAGTTCGTTAGTGACACCTAATAGTAAATTAAAACTTAAAAAACCTCTAACTACCATTAAACCGATTAAAAAAGAAATCAAAGTGGAACCCGTAGACACCTACCTAAGTGCGAGTAGTGCGGAAACTAAACCATTACCTGTGGACGATATTTCCCCCAAATCCCTCAATTGTGTCATGCAGTATGGTAAAGTGACGCCGGCAACGCTCTCAGATCTCGACGGAATCGACATGATGAACTTGCCCATCGATCTGGACGACTCGAATATCGAAATATTAGAATTTAACAATAAGCCCGAGTTGATGCAAGATACACACGCAAATTTCTTATCGCTTATTAGGGACATTATTTGTTCAACGAACGAGCATAGGATGACCATGAAGGCTTTGGAGGAACGTCTCAGAACGTGGCAGGCGAATCCCATAAGTGCACTAAATGATTGGTACAACTTCTCGGATAATTGGGTTTTATTACTACCAAAGGCTGTGAATTTCCTAAGTGGTAGGTAATTTCAATTTAGAACAATTTCTATATTTTAAGTTTAAGTTCAGTATAAAAGTAACTAGGCACTGGTAGATGCTTGTTATTTGCTAAAATTCAGAATTATTTATCAAAAATTAATGTCTAGTCTGGTGCAGAGGCCACCAACGTCGTCATCTAGTGCCTGTGTTAAATAAAATGAAACCCTTAATTCCAGAAATTATACCTAACTAGAACTTTCTCATTGGTGTGGGGGTTTTAAGGTTGCCAAACAATCTCATTTTTCATGGTCTTATGGAGGCCCAGTTGTAGAGTTCTTGATATATCTTAGAAAGAGTTCTGGTGATGATGTCATAAAAAATCACTTTCCAAAATGTGGACCATGGGGGGTGCCAACTTCCGTGAACTTTTTCAGAGTTTTTAAAAGATCATCAATAATTCTAAACGAGAGGCGAACCACTTGTTAATGTTATAATAATAATAGCGGCTTTATTTTTTGTTTCGTACAGAGACATTATGATGATGCACAGGGTGGGCCAAATTGAACACTATCTTATGGATATATTTTAAAAGAGAAAAAATAGATCTAGGTGTCCGGAGCTGAATTTTATAGAGAAAATCACTGGCGCAAACAGAATTCAACTATCTCTAATCGTTTAACCGCCAGGGGGCGTTTCTCGAATTTAGTAAGATAATTGATTTTGGCAAAATTTTTCGTAGAGCACATTTCAAGGCATATTTTTATGCAGAGTCCATTGCGGTACACGGTTTCTATACGGGCAGTTTAGTATTTCTTAAACGACCCTAAACTAAGTACATTTTTTCATGCGGGCGACCCCATATACGAGGGTTGTCCAGAAAGTAGCAGACGTTTTGAAATAAAAAATTTTAAACTTGTAAAGAAAATCTATTATTGTATACATTTGGGGGCTACACTATTGGGCTATTTATCAACACAAACGCAATTCAAATTGAGGCACTTATCATAGCGTGGCACAACTGTTTTGATTCCAACTTTTATAAATGAAAGAGGTGGAAGTTTTGTTTTTCGACGAAAAGGCCCGCCTGTACACAGTCAACCGTACTGAACAGCTCTTGGATGATTTTGGATCACCCTCCATACAGCTCGGATCTAGCGCCAAGCGACTTCCACCTCTTCCCAGCGATGAAGACCTCGCTCGCAACACAGCACATGGACAGTGATGCCGAATTTCAAGCCGGCAATAACCAGTGGTTAAAATCTCAGGCGGCAGATTTATAAAAGTTGGAATCAAAACAATTGTGCCACGCTATGATAAGTGCCTCAATTTGAATGGCGCTTGTGTTGATAAATAGCCCAAGAGTGTAGCCCTAGTGTATATAATAATAGATTTTCTTTACAAGTTTAAAATTTTTTATTTCAAAACGTCTGCTACTTTCTGGACAACCCTCGTATATCTTGGAGTTTTTTAAAAGAGCTTAAAATTTCTTAAAGGGCTCCAAATAGACATGGGCATTCGACAACGAATTAGCTGATAATTAATATAAAAAATTGAATTGAAAGGGTGGCAGTAGGTGGATGCCAAAATGTGAGTCTGGGCTAGTCGCAAAACTCGAGCCAAAACTACTAGGATCCGTGGTTGAATATCATATTAGTAGTAAATGGATGCCTATAAATAAAATTAGAAAAGTCGAAGTAATCTTAAATATGTTGTTCTTCATGAGGGAATCAAATACTATTATAAGAAATTAGCAATGTTGAAGCCCATTTTACATGCTGAAAATTATTTCATGAAAGTCAAAAGTGAAATAACTTTCCGGAAATGTTTGAAGTGATAGATGTGCTTTATATGCTGCAATTCTATTTCACTTTCAAGTGAAATTTTGCTAATACCAACCTAAAAAAATATATGTGAGATCGATACCTTTGATACTTTATTTCTCTCTTGGTTTCTCTTTTATTTCTGTGCAGTTGGAATTTTTTAACGCAAATGACCATCGAATGACACAAAACGTAAGATTAATTTTGAATGTCCAATCTTAGAGTTGCAAGTTGAAAGTTTCATTTTTAGGAAAAACATCTATTGCACATTGCCTCGCAAGAAACATCAAGAAAATTGATTTAACCTTTTAAAGGCACTTTGTGGGCGGCAGTCCTAATTTTTCGGACAGAAACTGGCAGTTTTCTTTATTGGCGAGGAACTAAGCATACCTGACTTCGAGCATGACTCCTTTGTAGATAATTTGTTAACAAAAAAGTGTACAAAAGTCTCTCGGAAATTCTTGACATAACAAGCTTCCTAGCTCAAACCAAAAATCGCGTTTTTAGAAGAGTGTCGTCAAAAAATGGTAAGTGTAGGAAAAAAACGTTTCCCACAAAAGTTTAGTATTTTTTGAGGTATTTTTCGATATAGAATAAGAATATTCAACGAGGGGGAAATCTCAGATAGAATTTTGTACACTATATATATCCCGAGATATATCCTCTCAGATATCCACTAGATAATTTCGGAAAAACACAGAATATCAGATATTCGTTAGACATCCATGGATAACGTCAGCGCTTCATTGATATAATCCGAGATATAATCGCACATCTACCAGATCCATATTGCTTTGCAAATCCGCCGAGTCCGCCAACATTTTCGAATTCCGCCTAGATAGAGATACCCATATGTGATTTAGAAAACTGAGAATACCGAACAGGAATACCAAGGGATTTGCGAACACTGGCGATCGAGTTGCAGGTTTTGTGTATCCATCGATATCTCCATAACGACTTCTCTCAGAATATCAAATCAATGATTCAAATCTTGTGTGGTGCATAAGGAAACCAATGTATGTTAATGTAAGAAAAATCTATTTTGCTTTCTTTTAGGTCACGTTGCTATAGTGAAAAAAGTATAAATTGTGCACAACTCTTGCATCTCAGGAAATAATTCGTGGGGGGGGGGGGCCTTTTAGACAGCGAAATTTGATAGCCGTCTGGCACACTTTCAAGGTGCAAAAAATTCCAGGACTCTAGGACCATTCCCCTAGCTAGAAGTACTTCAAAACGGTAAAAGTGGGTCCGAACGGATGGACAAAACGCAAACAATAGCACATTTTTTTTAATTTTTAAAAAATACCCTAAAAAGTCACCAATTTCGTTGGAAAAATGAGAAACATATTGTCTCGATCGAGGTCTCGATGGACACGAGGAAGATCTTAAAAACCTTCCATCATGATTGCGGGCAAGATATATTGTGCATGGCGTCTCTATTCCAATGTTTAACCATAGCGCGTTCGCACCTCCAGATGCAGTATGGGGTCTTATGGACTAATTGCCCCTATTACTAGTTTGCGTCATTGTTCCATAATACTATCCTCGTTTCTAACCGCATTGATGTCAAATTGACATATGATTATATATTAAAACAAAACATAATCTCCTTGTGCTGTCATTAATTGTCACGTTTGGCAAACATGTAATGTATGTCCATAAGCACCATACTGCATCTGGAAGTGCGAACGCGCTATAGGAATAACCGAGGGAATAACTCTCGAAATGACTTTTATCCGTAGAGATATTGAAAAACGGTTTTCCAAGTGACTTTGATTATGCTTTACCGTTTTGGCGGTTTTCAAATAGGAAATAGTAATGTGGCAACCGCCCTATTTAAAAAAAATCGCATAATTTGTTTTTGCAAGAATCTCTCCTATTTTTTAAAACATCACACAAAAAACTAATAGAAGTTATTTAGGTGTACATACTCGAATTTTGCATTATATTACGTTTGAGCTTTTTTAGCGCATTTTTAGGAATTAAAAAAATGTGCTATTGTTTGCGTTTTATCCGTCCGTGCGTCCGAACCCCCTTCAGCCGTTTTGAACTATTTCTAAGGGAATGGTCCTGGAATTTTTTGCAGTAGGTAGCCTATACCTTGAAGGTGTGCCAGACGGCCATTAAATTTCGCTGTATAAAAGCCCCCCCCCCCCCGAATTTCCTGAGATGCTGTTTTTGAAAGTAAAACGTGCATAACTTTTACATATACGACAACCAATTGCTCTAGATTTTGCATACGCAAGCCTTAAAGTTAAGTTAAAAAGGGGGGGGGGGGGTAAACACATGTTCTGCCCTTCATGGTATTCTAATGAGAGGTCTCATCGAAATATATTGGTTTGTACAAACTATAACTTTCCCGTGTGACTCTTTTTCGAGATCAGTGAGCGACGGGGCCTCAAAGTACGGTGGGAGGAGGGGGGACTAGTTGTATCCTTCATGGTACTCTAATGAAAGGTCTCAACGAAAGGAACCGTTTTCTACCAACTACTGCCCTTCTTTCGGTTAAAAAAATGCGCTTTATCTGCACAAGACCTGTGCAGTTATTACCGAGGTTAGTACACCCATACCTTTCTGTATAAAACGACAGTGCAGAAAATGTTAGTTATATGCGAGGGGTTGACCGCTGGGCAAATGTGGTGTACAGTCCCGAGGAAATGATGAGCAAATGTAGCAAATGTTGGGCAAATGTAGCAAATGTTGAGCAAATGTAGTAAATGTTTATTAAATATGACATATCAATGCGAGTATCAGTGATTTGTAAATATAAAGATAAATGTATACCAGGCGCTTTCATTTCGTGAAAATTATGCAAAGAAAGTGTTTTAAAATTCGCTCATGTAGTGCAGTCGTAAATAATGTGCTCGAGCAAGGTCATGGTGTTCTATTACACACCATGAGTCCATGAGCAAGGTGAATTCATAAGGGTGGCGGCACTCCGACTGTTTTATACAGGGTCATTCTTGACGAGCATCAGTTAGAAAGATATGGAAAACCTTTGAAAATGATACTAAACTGATAAGTCCTTTAAGGGTTTTGGCACGTGATGAATTGAACTAAAATATTTTTAAGATGGCGCCACTTCCACTTCCAATACCGGAAGTAGCCATCAACTTTGTTATTTTAAATAGGGACCCCCTATTTTTTCTACATTTTCGGATTCTACGTCGAATTTGGAGTACAACGAGTTGACCCTTTGCTCCAAGGGCTTCTTCGATAAATCGATTATCGATTAATTAAGAAATGTTGTGATTAGTTACCTTAAGATTAACACTTTTTACAGTTTTTTTTTAAGTTGATGGCTACTTCCCGTATTGGAAGTGGAAGTGGCGCCATCTTAAAAATATTTTAGTTCAAGTCATCATGTGCCAAAACCCTTAAAGGACTTATCAGTTTAGTATCATTTTCAAAGGTTCTCCATATCTTTCTAACTGACAGTCGTCAAGAATGACCCTGTATAGGAAGCGCGATTACCAAATCTGCCCTTGTATGCTTATTGCCTACCTTCCAGTCGTAGGCTGGTTTTACTATGGAGTCATATGGGAGATACCCCGTTTTTTTTTTTATATGATCATTAATAAGATGATTCTGAAGTTGTAACTCATACAATGTGTTGATGTACCTACCCATTGATTACACAGGCCAACACGATTTTTGACTTTGATAAGAGAATATGAAATTTTGATACATTTATTGATAGTTAGACAAAAAAAATATATAGAGCCTGAAAAAGTTTGCTTTTGTATCCAGGAGAGCCGTTGACCAGTATTTTAGAAAATCCAGAATTGAAATTTTTATTTAACGATAAATCGAAACAAATGTAATTGTATGAAACTTTACTTTTTTTTCGTGTTCATAAGTGCTTTCTCTCACTAAACCCAAAAACAAAATATAGTCCCCCATCACACTTTCGTTGTATTTATCATGATAATGTTGTTCAAAGTTCATAATACCTTGATAACAACGTTCTACTCATTTTTCTGAGTACGCCCTCATATAATAAATAATAATAAAAATAATCATATTTATTTTTTTTTGCAAAAATCGTTTACCTTCTAAAGGTCTTTTGTAGTTACTACAAGCAACATGTGAAGCCCAGGAGGTGTCTAGATTCCGAATGGGGTAGTTAAAATAGGTTTCGTAGGATTCATAAGGCTTTTTACAGGCATTTAAAAAAATTTTGTCTTTCATACTTTAATAAATATACCATAGAAACGAACTTACAAATTAAGATGGACTGCTAATGTTGAATTGACAAATGACACCTACATGGGAGCACTGGAGCAGCCATGATGTGCACTTACTTGGCGCGAAATTCAAATCAACTAATAAACAAGCATTAACCCAACATTAACCCCACGTTTTCTAATAGCGTTTTCGATTGGCAAAACTCGTGCTGCACGAGTGCAATTTTTACGTTCTATTGGTAATTTTAGGGCAATTTTCTGTGTTCCATTGGCAAATGTGATGCAACAATTACGCACTAAATGCAAATTTTGACGCACGAGGTCGGAGAGCTCGTGGAGCAAATTTTCAAAATAAAAGTGCGCCAATTTGAATTTGTTTCTTGCGTTGGAGAGTTTTTTGTTGTCATCTAGCGATAGCGAAGATGATGAACTAGCCATATAACTTCTACTTTACAAAAAGTTGCATTTACTCTTTAAAGTGAACGCCAAAAATTGGTTCTTTACAGGAATTTCAAATTTATATTCCTCATTGTTTATCATAAATAATAGTGAAATCGTTTCAGTCATTTTTTAGAATACAGATTTGTCGATTACCTAAATCATTGTATAAATACAAATCTAAAATGAGGTTATGGACAAATGACAGCAAATATTTACGAATATTTATGTTTCATTGAGAGCAATTTTCACATGGATTTCTTCAGTTTCTCGTGCAACACTCGTGCAGTACGAGTTTTGCCAATCGAAAACGCTATAAATAAATTGTTACGTATTTATTTCAAATAATCGATCGATTTTAGACGATCCTTAACGATTATGTTCGCTCTTATGCATTATCGGTAACGTAGATGATTACTACGAAAATATTCGAAAAAGCTGGCCGTTAAATTTTTCTTCGCTAGAATAGTTGATCTTTAAAAATAGACGCATTATTGATATTGGTGTCTCTCCGAAGTTGTTGGAGGATTTGAGTTAACTATTCTACATAATTACAATTTGTATATCCTAATTTTGGGAGTTAAGCGTGGAATCTTTGAAGGTCAATAAAGAACCACGGACGTTTATTATAACCCTTTGAATTAAAGGTATGCCTTTTTTTAAATTAGTTTTCAAATTTTGAATTTAAATTTTTTAGGGTTTTTTTTTATTGTATACTTTGAAATTTAATTTAATTCATCTTGGATGAATGGTTTATGGGCCATTTAATTTCGTCTATCATCGAAAATTCAACAAGCAGAGCAAAATCGTTGCGATCAATTAATCACGTACATCTGTTTACGGGAATGCAGTCCGCTTATCAA